TGAGCTATATCCACCCTGAAGGTTAATCTTGGACAATATCTGATGATCGACTCTTTTAAATGAAACCAGAGAGCGTTGACAGAGAGGAGAAGGTAGAAATGACTCAGCCTGGAACTGAAAATATGGATGGAGGACAACAGAGCTGCTTCATGGAAGAAGAACCTCAGATTAGCCTGTTAGCTTTAGCGTTAGCCCCAACGCTATATTGCCTTATATGTATTACCTCAGCGCCAGCGTGACAAACAAGCTAAACTGAGGTCCTCCATCCATATTTTCAGTTGCAGGCTGAGTCATTTTTGCGTTCCCCTCTCTGTCATGTGGATGGAGGACCTCAGTGATGAGAGAATTTGTAGCACTGAGCTAATACATATATATGGTGATAGCGTTGTGGCTAACGCTAAAGCTATCAGGCTAAGCTGAGGTTCTTCTTCCATGAAGCAGCTCTGTTGTCCTCCATCCATATTTTCAGTTCCAGGCTGAGTCATTTCTACCTTCTCCTCTCTGTCAACGCTCTCTGGTTTCATTYAAAAGAGTCGATCRTCAGATATTGTCCAAGATTAACCTTCAGGATGGATATAACTCGCTAGCAGCCTCGCACCAAGGACCTATCCACATCGTTTACCCAGAATGCTTTGTGTGTAAATAAAATGGCTCCGTCCGTGTATATATTTTWAAACTTTTAGTTTAAAAATTATAAAAACTAAACAGCCTACAGTATTTTTACAGTCTTAATTTTACAATTAAAATATATGTTTATCAAATAAAGTCTAATGTTACAACTAATCATGGATCCCTTTAAATATCCTGAATGCCATTTCTCATCAACATTTATTGGCACAAGTTAAGCAACAACTGGGTATAGCTTCATTATTACGCTTTCCTGACCAGATGCACTGCTGGTTCTTTGATAAATGGTCTTTTTCTGAACCACAAAACATACAGAAAGAAATACTTTACTATAACACTCAGCACCATGTAATACTTGGGTTTTGTCCAAATCTTACTTGAGTTCAATAATCAGAGCCACTGGTGTTGATGTCAGAACTTGACTGTATACAGAGGGCAAACTTCCAGTTTGAGCTCACCTGGAAGAACTGATCCAACGCCCTGCCCAGGCTTGTTTCACGTTACCATAACAGTCTCTCAAGCTGCAGTGTACTGACAATATACTGTATTCTGCAGCCAGATCTCAAACCCTTCAATTTATGTGCACACATGTTGTTGCGATCGGAGATATGGTGTCTTTGGTTTGTTTGGGTTTGTGAGATGACTTTGTTTTGTCTGTTTTGCAGATGCAGGCGTTATGGTGGCGGCGCTGAACTTTTAACAGGATTTTTGTTTTCTTATCTCATTGTAGAAAACGTATGCACAAGGTCTCAGACTGATACTTACCCCTCTGTCACCATAACTTCTTTTTTCTATTAATTGCTTGGCGCAGGGCTGCATGGTGGCGCAGGTGGTTAGAGCTGTTCTTGCAGCAAGATGATCACAGGTTCCGTCCTCAGCGTTGGAAGGCTTTGTTTGGTTTTTATGTTTCATACATTCCCACACCAGGAGGACTTTATGCAGATTGAAATATGCAGAACATTTGCCTCAAGGCTGGGGACTTAATTGTTGAAATATTTCATAAGAAATGCTTTTATACTGATTTTACACTGCAAAAACTGTCCATCTTACCAAGTTTTAAAATCATATATCAGCCAAAAAGTCTTTTTGATCTTGTTTTGAGACTGATTTACTAAACAAGAACTGATTGTGTAAGAATAATCATCTTGTTTTCAGAATGTGWAAGATTATTTGTCTTGTTAGCCTGAAAATTTGACTCAAATTAAGTCCAAAATTTCTGCCAATGGAGTAAGAAAATTTTACTTGGTAAGTTTCTTGAAATACGAAAAAATTGAGTCAAATCAATGATTTACACAATCAGTTCTTGTTTAGTAAATCAGTCTCAAAACAAGATCAAAAAGACCTTTTGGCTGAGGATATGCTTTTAAAACTTGGTTAGGTGGACATTTTTTTGCAGTGTATTATTTCACAATGTCAACATGTTGCATAAACCGTTTATCTTGACACAGCAGGTAACTTTTATAACAAGTTAAAATTTGTTTAAAGCTAAAACAATTAGGTTTTGTTCTTTGAGGATAAATTAGAAACTAGGGAAACTGAATAGACTTGGTAAAATTCTCAGAAAAACTCATTTTTTAAATTGAAACAATCCAAAATCAGTTGCTTTGCACACAATACAGAACATTTTTCACCCTCCTCTCTTTCTATCCTCTTTCTGCTCTTACTGCTTTTGATACAATTTGTTTCTCCTCCCATCTCCCTGTTCTTTTCTTTAATTTTCCCTCTCTTTCTCTTCCTCTGGCCTCCTCTGCCTCTCTCTCTCATCGTCCAGAAGAAAAGGCTGGTGCATTCCAAAGGCCTGGAGACCGTTCCCTTCTTTCAGGCGCTGGCCCACAGAATGACAGAGCAATTAGAATAAGAATGGCTGCCCGTTCACCCCAGTGCCCCGGTGCCGAGCCGGAGGCAGCGAGGGAGGGCGATGTGGAGAGGAGGAGAGGAACCCTGGGGGTCCCGTGCACACTCTGCGCTCCCATTGGCCCATGCCGCTCCCTCTGTTTTTACACCGCCGCCGTCAGCTACGCTCTCGAGTTTGCTTTACACATTCTGGAGCACAAACTCATGCTCATGCACGCGTAAATGCGGGTCCAGAGCTCGCACATGGGCGCCGGTTCACAGGAGTCTGCACGCCGTCAGGAGAAACAGAGGCAGCGCGAGCGTTTCCAGGGGGGCCTGGGGGCTGTGTGAGTACAGATCTGGCCTCACTTTGTTGGATCCATCAGATTTATTTCTGTCAGATTCATTAAGATCAACTGGAATTCAGTTTTTTTTTCTCGTGCAAACTCTAAGTTAAAACATGACCTAATGCTGTCACCACCCACTTGTAGCTAAACTGTAAACTCTTAACTATGTAGCTSTTAAAGTTTAACAGCAGTTTGTTTTTTTTTTAACTTCAGCTCCTCAGCAACTTGTTTGTGGCATCAGATTATAAACGTATCAAATGAACTGGTGCTTATTTTCATGTTTGAACAGATTTATTGTAGGTTTATGGAGGAATATGACACATTTTAGATCCTTCTACTCACACACGACTCACAGATTGCTGAATGAGACGCCCTGTGGCTGCGGGTTATTGCGGTCAAACAGGAGTGGCCTTCTTATCTCAACTAAAGTAAAGCTGTCACGGTTATAAAATGCTTGTTAAAAAGTTTTTTGCTTCTTATTTTTTCCTTCTAATGCAGTATAAATGATCATTGAATCACTTTTAGAACTGTTTTTCAKGCCAGTGTTTGAAACTAAGATCATTTTGTGTTGAAAAATGATTTATAGATTTTATGGTTAAACCTTGAAAATAACTTTATTCACACTTTCATGATCTGTCAGTGCTCACACTGAATTTGAGGTCAGTTTTTGTTAAATCACCTGAAAGCCATTTGTTGTGTTTTGGTCAGATGGCTGGTCTCTGTTAATACAGTATTTGAGAGAAAAGTTGCTATTACTTAAGTAAAAACACACAATGACAAATAAAGTTTCTTATCCAGGCAGGCTCAGAAGTGTGATCCCCCTGTAGTTGGAACACACTCTCCGGTCCCCCTTTTTAAATAAGGGGACCACCACCCCAGTCTGTCAATCCAGGGGAACTGTCCCCATCATCTACGCAATATTGTACAGTTGCGTCACCGAACACAACTGGTAAAGTCTATTCAGGGGTCCTGAAGAGGAAGGTCTGTTTCATAGTTGAATCTTGGATTCAGGAAGAGCAGTGTGGCTTTCGTCCTGGTTGTAGAACAGTGGACCAGCTCCACACCCTCAGCAGGGTCCTGGAGGGTGCATGGGAGTTCGCCCAACCAGTCTACATGTATTTTGTGGACTTGGAGAAGGGACAATGTTCCTTGGGGAGTCCTGTGGGGGGTACTCCGGGAGTATGGGGTACCAAGCCCTTTGACATGGGCTGTTAGGTCCCTGTATGACCGGTGCCAGAGCTTGGTTTGCATTATCGGTAGTAAGTCGAACTTGTTTCCAGTGAGAGTTGGACTCAGCCAAGGYTGCCCTTTGTCACAGATTCTGTTCATTACTTTTATGGACAGAATTTCTAGGCACAGCCAAGGTGTTCAGAGGATCCTTTTTGGTGACCTTAGGATCACATCTCTGCTTTTTGTGGATGATGTGGTCATATTGGCTTCATCAGATCGTGATCTCTAGTTCTCACTGGAGCGGTTCACAGCTGAGTGTGAAGCGGCCAGGATGAGGATCAGTAGTCCGAGACCATGGTCTTGAGCCGGAAAAGGGTAGGGTGCTGCCTACAGATCAGGGAGGAAGTCCTGCCCCAAGTGGAGGAGTTTAAGTGTCTCAGGGTCTTGTTCACAAATGAGGGAAGAATGGAGCAGGAGGTGGACAGGCGGATTGATGCTGCATCTGCAGTGATGCGGGTGCTGTACCGGTCTGTCGTGGTGAAGCGGGAAATGAGCCTGAAGGTGAAGCTCTCGGTTTAACAGTCGGTCTACGTTCCTACCATCATCTATGGTCACGAGCTTTGKGTAGTGACCRRAAGAAWGAGAKCACRGATMCAAGCRGCTGAAATGAGTTTCCTCYGCRGGGTGTCTGGGCTCTCCCTTAGAGATAGGCTGAGAAGCTCAGTCATCCAGGAGGGACTCAGAGTAGAGCCGCTGCTCCTCCACGTCAGCGGAGCCAGTTGAGGTGGCTCATCTGGTTAGGATACGCTGGAGGGACTATGTTTCTCAGCTGGCCTGGGAACGCCTTGGGATTCCCCCAGAGGAGCTGGTCCAAGTGGCTGGGGAGAGGGAAGTCTGGGTCTCTCTGCTGAGGCTGCTGCCCCCGAGACCAGATCTTGGATAAGTGGAAGAAAATGGATGGATGGATGGATGGATGGAGTTTCTTATCCTTTTTATTTATTCATATTAATTTGTGTTCTGCAGCCAGAAAGATGTCCCGGTGTCCAAACATCCAACTGTCCTCCATGACTCGGTGCCTGAGCCTCCTCATGCTGGGTGAGTACAGTTCAGAGAACTTTTATGAAATTTCACTTCGTTAATCTCACCAAATAAAACTTGCAAATGAACCGAGACAGGACTGTGATGTGATTGGAATGACTCATTCGACTAAAAGATAAATTTGGATCTGCCCTTTTTAGATGTGAATAAGCAAGACTGTTTTTATGTTTTTAAGTAAAAAGACCACATAAAATTAGTCTTTCAAAATTAAAATTTTAATTTTGCATTTTTTCCCTTTAATGCAGACACTTCATGCTTTTTCTAAATATGGTTTTACCAAGTTATAAACAGAGGGATGGATTTTCTGTCCACTTTTAACCAGAAGTTTCAGTTTTCCACCGAAGCATGATGACACATTTACACCTGCTGTTTGCTTTGGACAGTCGCTGCACAGTTTCAGCTCTCTAAGAGCAGGAACACCTTCATCTAACGGACGGTTTTAAGCATCTCGTGGTCAATGAAGCTTAGGTTGATCAGGATTTAGAAACTCCCAGAATCTGGGGTATTTGTGGAATGTGAAGTAAAGGATGGAGTGACGGCAGGAATAGTGGATCACGGATGGAACAGGTCCATGCAGGGTCAATAAATGAGTGTGACCAGCATGTGATTAAAAAAATGCAAATTGTTACATTTTGTCAGTTTATGTCTTTGTTTCAAGTTAGTGATTAGTTGCTGTATTTTTACCCACATGTGGGTAAAAATACAGCAACTAATCACTAATACCCAATAGGGTAGCATAAGTCAGCTGCTGATCATCATGGTAACAGGCTATAATTATGTGTCAGAAACTGGGATTTGTGATTATAATGAGGCTGAGTTGGCTGGAAGCCATCAGTACATGTCAGAGAACAGAAGTAAGAATAAATCGATGAAAATACCCAGGTTGTAAAAAGTACACTGATTTCATTTGAAAGTTAATATAATATTTTGTAATTATTTTGTATTTAGAGAACAAAATCTGATCTAAATGATGCAGTGTCACCAAATTTAAAGCTTCCCTTAAGAATGGACGTGTACAAACTAGAGAGTGGATAAAGAAAGAGTGAAATACTTGAAAATAAAGGCGGGTGATCATGTAATTTCATCTATATGTCTGTCTGTTAGCAAAATATCTCATGAAGCATGGAACAGAGTTTATTGAAACGCTCTTAAAGTAATCACTGGATATAAATTTACAAGTATTTAACTTTTGAAGGTAACCAGATTCAAGATGGCTGCTGCAGATAATGAATCTTATCAAAAACCAAAATGTCTACAACTCAGTCATTTTTATAGAAACTGAGCAGAAATCTGGTGAGGTAGTAGATGAGGGTCACCCCCATCACTTAGTTGAAACATAAACAGATCACTTGAGATATTGATTTAAAACTTTGGTGTTAACTGTTGGAGACAACCCTGTTTGTCTGTTAGCAAAATATCTAATGAAACAACAAACATATTTTAATGAAAATCTCAAAAATTAATTATTAGAGGTGACAATAAAACTCTTTCATTTTTGGAGTCAACATGATTGAAGAAGGCCATCGCAGTCAATATTATGAAACACAAATATGTCTATAAATCAGTCATTTTTACAACTATTCAGCTAAGATTTTGCATGATCGTTGCTGAGACTAATCTCCATCACATATTCTGAGAACAAATTAAATATGTGGGAATTTCTTTTAAACTCGGGCATGCAAGATGATACAGTTGATGTKTATTCCTTAAAAACGCTACTTTCATTAAGCTGCAAGAAGGTTTAGCAATTTGAATACCCAGTTTACATTTCTTACATTGTCAACTTCAAATATGTGTATATACAGGGTGTATCAGAAAAAATGATACTTTCAGAAAAATCGCGATAAAATTAACATACGTAGATAATAATTTTGAAAATGTGAGCATAACATTTGGTAGAGGGGATCCTTCTGCTTCGAATGACACCAAAATCTTAGTTAACGCTTCACGCTCCAGTGAGCTGGGACARTTGGAAATTTACAAAATTCATGTCCTTTGTGCAAGGAAATGTGAGGGTTAAAATAYGATCTGTCACATAAAATTAAAAGCTTAGATGGTGTTTTACACGCATGCCAAGRCATTTTTAAAATAATTAACCTTTTCCTGTTCTAACGTTGAAACAAAAATCTCATTTTTGAGTAGATTATAACCAAGTGTCCTGATGCATCTCAGTAATCCAGGTAAAAAATCAAAAAGAAAAAAATTGTATAGGTCCTCTGGACGGTTCTTCTCTAATGAAACGTTTCGTCTCTTCTCCAAGAGACTTCTTCAGTCTGAGAGTTTCAGGCAAAATTCAGACTTTTAAGCCCAGCCTCCGTGTGACTGATACTCACATCACATGGCTATCGTTGACACCTAATTAACACTTATTGTTAACAGGGGGTGGAGTGATACTGGCAATGACAGCACTGTAGGAGGGGGACAACTGAAAACAGAGGCCCCCACCTCTGTTTAATTCTGGCCATTAGACGTAGCTCGTCTGTGTTGGGACATTCTTTTGAACAGTGGTTGCTTTGTTTCCCTGATGTATAAC